CCATGCTGGACTGAGTTTGCATTCCTTCTCTCCCATTCCCCCCAAGACCTACTGAGACAAAAGGGCTTGCTCCAAAAGAAATCCAGCTTTGAATAGTGCAGGTGTCAGAAACTATCACCACTTCCTGACTTGAGTCATAGGCCTGGAACTGCAGAATCACAGAACAGCGGAGGTGGAAGCACCTTGAAAGACTGTCTGGTTCAACATTTCATGGGAAAGGGAGCCTAGATGAGATCACCCAGCACCCTGGCCTGTTGCCATCTTGAAAACCTCCTGCGATGGGGACTCCACCACACCCCTGGGGAGGTTGTTTTACAGTGACTGACTGTTCTCACTGCAAGAAGTTTCTCTGTGTCAAGATGAAACCTTTCCTGGTGCAACCTGCACCCATTGTCCCTTCCCTTCTCCATGTGGCTCCCTGTGAAGAGAGGGTCTCCGTCCTCTCTGCAGGTGCCCTTTAAGTACTGGAAAACTGTGATGAGGTCCACCCTAAGCCTTCTCCCTCCAAGGAGAAGACACCTGAATGCTTCAGTCTTATCTCACAGGGCAGGTTCTCCAGCCCTTTGGTCATCCTCATGGCCCTCCTTTGGACCTGCTCCAGTCTGACCGCATCTTTCTGGAATTCTGGGGACAGAACTGGACACAGCTCTCCAAGCACAGTCTGACAAGTGCTGAGCGGAGGGTGACGCTCACATCTGCAATTCCCCAAAACATCTCATTTTTGGCCTGCATCCAGTATGTTAACCAGTGGATTACCTATTTCCAATTCTACTGAAGGTTTTCCTTTGATGACAATACTTACTGATTTTTGCCTACACTGGATCGATCCCCTGTTGGAAAATGCAGCTGTTATCCAAAGAGCATGCCGTCAGGTGGTAACACCTTTAACAGCCAGGGCAAACAGAGAAATCTTATCCATATAACATGGTAGGCAAAACTGTACTATTTTCTTCTGTTAAGGTCTTCCAGAGCTGGAGCATATTTCATCTGGACACAAGGGTTTGTTAATACATCAGAAACTCTATACTGAGTCACAGCAAAAAACTGTGTCTGGCCCAGTGTCCAGTTTCCAACAGCAGCTTTCCATAGGAATCTGCTACCTAAGTATTAGAAGTCGGTCACGTAGAGAATCGTCCTTCCCTGACAGATGCTTCCAGCAATCCGCAGCTCAGCTGATTTATTAGTTTGTGTGACTTTAATTATGCATATTTTGCAATGACCTAGCACACACTGGGCAGGTAACTAAAATCTGAAAAACCCATCAACAGCAAGACAGAGTTAAGTCAATTACATTATTAGCATGAAAACTGCTAAAGAATGTAAAAACACAACAAGAAATGTTATCCAGACACTTACTTTTATTAGGACACTGAAACAGTTTAATGTACAAATGCTTTGTGTTAGTTGCAAATATTTCCTCCGTTAAAGCAGCATTTACAGCTCACGTACATGTCTGAGGCCATCTTAAGATGCAAGACACTTTTGCGGTAGCAACTTCATAGATCAGTGAATGCCAACACTCCACAACCCTGTTTAAAATAATAAAGTCCAGATGGAGTGACAGAAAGGAGACAGTACACCATTCTGTGCAGTGACTGGGATCGTATTTCAAAAGTGGGGGAAAAAAATAAAATCAGAGTTATTCAGACATACCTCTTTCTTTCTTAATACTCTCCTTACGCATTTCACCCCCTATCCAAAAATAATGATTACTATAATAAACAGAAAAAGCATCCCCAGGTTTTCCTATGAAAACAGTGAACCTACACAAATAAAAAACAATTATTTTTAAATACTCTAGGAAAACAGATCTTTGTTTAAAAAAACAGCGTATGTATATCATGTAGGCATGTTTCTTCAAGCCAAAATACCTTCAAAGTATGAATTCTTTCCCGGCCATCCCAGTCCCCACGTACTGCAAACAACTGTGTTGATCAGGACAGTTCCAATAAACGGCCACCTTATCACAGTTAGAATGCATTCCTTCTCAACTACCAGACATTAATAATCAGTAAAAAAAAAATTTATCAACATTTATTTTTGATCACTGTTTATTATCCTGATGCTTCCACTTAGCTGAAACTGTTCCAAATACTTGGCAGGGCAAAATACATAAATTAGTGGAAATAAAAATCACAAATCCAGATATTTATTTTCAGTAGAAACTTTGAGGTTCAGGATAAGGCTCTTACATGTTTGATTCACCCCAATAGCTTTCCATTTATTTACTAAAGCCTCAGCTTCGCTTCCACATCTGAAGAAATGGAAGAAAAGAGTCCCGCTTCATGCAAACACCACCACAAAGCAACTAAAATAGGCTTGTTCATCTATTTATCAGCCTACAGCACTGAGAACTCAAGCACCTTAACAGGCTTCTGATTTTTTTAACGTCAAAAGTTTTGACCAGAATGACACGTTGTCTCCCTAAGCCCAACGAACTTTTTCTCCCCAGAGCCATCCTTCCCTTCATCTACCCGCCATGTCAGAGACTTTTATCTAAAAAAGCCAAAATGGAGGTCCAGGGATATCCATCTCAACTAGCGACATCCCATAACCATCTTAATTTCCCACAGAGACCACGCATATAGCCTGCCAGTAAAACACACATCGTACAGTACCCCAACTGCTATTCGCTTTAGTGTGATTTCAATGCTTTTTTCCTGTACACTGTAAACATCAAAAATGGACAAAGGTAGTTTTACCCATGTTTTAATGCAGAGTATGTGTTTGCCAAATGAATCGGTGGACAGCGTCTCTCGATAAATACTTGAATTTGTTTCATCAGAACCATTTGCAGTCACAGCTTTGACACTGCCAGAAATTCCACTCTGCTTCCTGCCAATTTAGATGTTACCACTTCATTTTAAAGCAAAAAAACCAAAACCAGCAAAACAACCCCACATACCTAAAGATTCTTGGCAGTTCTCAGAAGTGCGACAACAACAACAAAATTTCCCCCATTTGCAGACAACCCAAGACAAAATGCGAGAAGTGAATACAGATTCCGCAACCCAGCATTTCAGTGCCAGCTGGCGATCTGCTTACCTTCGCAGGTTCACCCTGAGCTCCAAACCCATTCATTACGCTGCACCGGAATCCAAGGACCTCACTTGTTCCCAGCTTACACATCAAAGGCTTGAGTTGACTTGAATACTCGGGTTTCAATTATCAAACAAAAAATGGCTCAAAAGCTCAAGGAATAAGCACTAAGTTTTAATTTCCATTTCTCGAAACCGCAGGGCCTTGAGAGGCTGATTGTTCTGCATCGCTTCCAGTCTGTAAAATGGGAATCAGCTTCCTTCTCCACATTTTCACCCTTTTCAACTGTTGGCTCGTCGCAGGCTTTTTTTACTCACAGTTGGTAAACCTACATGCCGGTGAAATGGGAATACCCTTCCACACTGGGGTGAAGGTTTCTCTGAGCCGCACAGATAATGATTTGACTGTTTCAAGCAGTCAAGCAACAATCACAGAAGTGTCGGAACAGAACTTTAGCTGGGTTAACAAAGTGTACGCAGGTGAGTAGCTTTGAAAGCCAGCACAGAGACAGTCGCCACGAACTGAAGGTGGCAACGCAGACTGCTCATCCGATGCAGAATATTCTACAAAATACGGTTGATCATGCTACAGAATTTAATTATATGATAAGCAAAAATCTGAACCAAACAAGGCTACATTTAAACAATGATGTTTCTCAAAAATAGCCATGCAGTCCTTGTAGCAGCAACCAAAAAGGCAACTAAGTACGAAACAATCCAGAATACAGATCAGGCAGAATATAAAAAGTGTTTAATGGGCATTCTTAAAGCAAAATCCTGAAATACATAGTTATAGTTTTATTTTTAAAAAAGGTACAGCTTACTGTCATCCTTCCTTACCAATTTCCTCTCATCGGTATAACGGGTCCCTCTGTGCTTGCTGACAGCATAACCTCCAAATATTACTATCCAATTATGTAGGGATTTTATGTCCGTACACTGAGTTGTATTTCAGTAGTATTTGTAACAGCTCAACTCTCAGAAGCTACCTGTAAGTCTTCCCCCTCCAAGGTACAGCTGCTTAGAGATAAAACTTAGCACACACTACTTTAGTGCTTCAAAGTAGTTTGACTAAGCTAGTATTTCGCTGCTGTTTTAAAACCTTGGTTCATTCTTCATGTTGCTTATGGCCCCTCTTCAAGACTGGTGCAAAGACCCCTTGACTGAACACATCAGAATGGAATTACACCAGTTTCACAATTCAGAGGTTTCAGTTTAGACGTTTTAAAGTTAATAATGTGAAAAACTTCACCCATAATATTAAACATGCATATAATTACATATGAAATGCAGGAAGAGAATAGTATTTAATATGAATTTACCGTTTAGACAGTGGAAGTTTCTGGCCAGGCATTCTTAAAAACTGGCTTCCAAAAATGGTTACAGAAAGATATAAACAAAGAAGAATTGAAGTTCATACTATAATCCAATAATAAATGACGTAATATAGCACAAAATTATCTCTTAATGTGTTATATTCTTTCTTTTGGCAGTATTGGAAACAGCCTATCTTTGGGAGGAGAGGGGGGGAGCACTGCGGAAGACACAATTCCTTGAAATTTGTTTGAAGTTCCTGAGAATATGCAGAGAATACGATACATTTTAGCTGTGTTGGGGGAAAATTGAATGTTCATACACATTTCTGAAAACCTTTAAAAGGTTTGAAGAAATAAGTTTAAAACCTTAAGATGCAACTTATGAAAGAGTCCTGTATGCAACAGCGATATCCCCTTTTAAAGAATGCCACTAAATGGTAGAGTTTGAATTGCAAGTAGACTGTCATTCACCAGTTCCAAAACTCAGCATTCTCCCCCTCACTGCATTTGTACCATTCTGGAACAATCTTGTTACTCATTCAGGTTTCAACGTCATCAGTGGAAGAACTTGAATATCTGAAGTCAAGTCACCATGCAGTGTAGAACACTTATCCTGATAATGTGGGGAGAGATTCAAAACAGCAGTCTAATTCAACACAGACTGTGCAGCTTCCTTAAGAAGTGATGCAGCTTTGTCCAGTTCTTGTTCTGTTTGTTCTACTGTTATCACTACTCGAATACTAGAAAAAGAAAACCAGAAAACAGACAGTAAACTTTACTCCTTGCCTTCAGCTTCAGCCTTTTATTGTACTAATCTTAACACATTAAGATCACCATCTCCAGGGAAATTATTATGCATTCAAATTCAACCACAAACAAGACATATGACTACACAGAAAAAGTAAGACTACTTTTTTCCCTCTCCATACACACCACATAAATTTGATCACTATCTTTTTTTACCTGCAGATGTGCAGTTTGTGGAAATGTGGCTGGTAACAGGCAACATGCTAATCACCGAGATTCAGGTAGTTTTGATAAAGTTATTTCAGGGTATTAGCATCCTGTAACAATCACTGAAAATGTGCATCAAAAATGGATCCTTTCCCATTTTTTACTGGACCAGCTATTCGATCCGGTCTACTGAACAAAAACCCATCACTGTATGAAAAGAGATAGTCATATCAAATAAAACGAAATAACATACGGACTGTCTACTAACCTGGGAGGAGGAAGACATTTTTCTTCTTTCTCCAGATAGCAGGCCTGAGTTAACGCAATACCATTATTCATGCACTACAAATAAAGACAATGCAACAGCCATCAATCTCAGAACTTCTGATGGCATGTCCTTTTGATCACAAAATACATATAACTAACTTCTGTGAATTTGGTATAACTGTATAATTACAGGATAACTCTAAGTTCTTTCCCAAATGGAGGTTTTGAAGGTTGTGCAAAATCATCTCTAATTTTAATACAGCATAAACACATAAAACAGGTTAAAGTGTAGCTTCTTTAGCTTTCATCTCCAAGTAATCAGACAAAAATGCTGTATTAAATAGGCTACTAAATTGTATTTAAGAACACTTTCAAGGAAATCAGCTTCAGAGTTTCTTTTTCTTGTGTAATCTTGTTTACCTGCCACCTGACATATAAATCAACCTTCAGCTCCTTCATGTGGGAGAAAGAAAACTGACGGGTACTGAAGATGGAAAAAAATACTACATATAAAACATGAGATTCTTCACACAAAAAAGCAAGTTCATGGACTCAAACAAGCGAAGTTACAGAAAGTTAGACCTCAAATGGTTAAAATACACCACCAGAACTCTGTTCAAATGACAGCCTTTATTCTTATGAACATCACAAAGGTTTTCTAAGCAACAGTTTTATATGCAAATTTAACTTGAGTTATGAAGTACATAACAGGAAATAAATTATTTTCTGAAGTAAAAGGTCGAATATGTATTTTTATCCAGTGCTACACACCTAAATACCTGTAGCAAGAAATGGTTAGAAGACGGTCTTTAACATAACCATACAGTCAGTGAAGAAACCGAGTTTCTTGCATCATTCCTGCATGACATTCCAACAGGTTACCCAACAAGCCTACCTACCCATATGCAATTCATTATTCACAAAAGCAATGATAGATTTTAAGTGCTATGGGGACACTTACATAATCCACAACTCTTTTGAGCAACTTCATATCATTTTCCCGAGATCCACAGCTCTCTTCCAACTGTAGGTGTAATGCTGGAGAAAATGTTTCTCCCACTACCTTCAAGCCAGAAATCCTAAAATAAGTAAGAAGCCTTTAATGCACTTGAACACACATGTTAACGTTCTACATAGTGTTTCCCCTTTGCAGGTGGCAAGTGAGAAGAAAGGGGTATTTAACTTTCCTAACACTGATGCAGACAATACGTGCATTTCAGGTAAAGATAATAAAACTTATCAAGTGAATATCTTTCCTGAGGAGTTTACTAAATGTAGTTTCAGCAGGTTTGTGCAACAATACTGGTTTCTCTTTTTGCAAAAAGGATTAACTATTCAGGAATTTTAACAATATCCTTGAGAAGATATAGGAGAAACAGTAGCATTAGGCTTGTATGTTGCTGATAAAAACACAGCTAAGTTGAGTCTTTAAAGTCTATATTAAAGATACAATAAATATTTTTTTAATAATAAAATAAGAATAAATCTTTTTACCCATTTATGTGGTAACAAGAAACAAGGTTTATTTTTTTGGCAAGACTTCTGATTTCAAATTATTTCCCATAGCAAATCTTTACAACATTATCTGTGGCTTAGTCAGAAGCTCCTCTAAAACTAGCTGTATTACTAGAACTGCTCTGACATTTGCACACAGGGACAGTTGTTAATCAGGTTCTTAGAATTTAATTGAATGACTGACATCTGATAGTCACAAAAAGATTGACATTTGATTGCACTGTCCTGACACATCATCATATCATCATATTCAGGACTGACTTACTCTCCTCAAAAAAACTGTATCCAATACCCATGCAAGACTTCTGGTCTCCAGAATTAACAGGTCCTATAAATGTTGTGTCTACCATCAGTTGTGATTGTGGTTTCCTGACTTTGATGAGCTTGCCTCACACACATTTTAAGTTTACACTCCCATTTTCAAATGAGTTTTCCATTTTGACAAAGTTCAGTGCTGCGTCCAACTGTGGAGCCCTCAATATCAGAAGGATATTGACCACTTGGAGCGAGTCCAGAGGAGGCCACGAAGATGATCAGAGGGCTGGAGCACCTCTGCTATGACGAAAGGCTGCGAGAACTGGGCTTGGTCAGCCTGGAGAAGAGGAGGCTCCGAGGAGACCTCATTGCAGCCTTCCAGTATCTGAAAGGGGCCTACAAGGGTACTGGGAGAGGACTTTTTACAAGAGCCTGTAGTGATAGGACAAGGGGTAATGGGTATAAATTGAAATCAGGGAGGTTTAGATTAGATATCAGGAAGATATCTAATTTCAGGAAGAAATTCTTCACAGAGAGGGTGGTGAGGCACTGGAACAGGTTGCCCAGAGAAGCTGTGGATGCCCCATCCCTGGAAGTGTCCAAGCCCAGGCTGGATGAGGCTTTGAGCAACCTGGTCTAGTGCAAGGTGTCCCTGCCCGTGGCAGGGGGGTTGGAACTAGGTGATCTTTAAGGTCCCTTCCAACCCTAAGCATTCTATGATTCTACGGAGACAGTCAGAGCAGAAGAGATCTTAAATCCATAAGCATCAAAATTGTGGCATGCAAGAAAGAGAATTGGCACTAAATACACACTGAATCAACTATAACCTTGAAAAAACAGAATTCTACTCTAGCATGGAAAGCATCCTGCACTATTGCTGCAATGCTATTTCAAATCGCAGTCCATTCCAGAAAGACAAATCAAACGGCTACTCTTCTTCAGCCACAAAACAGCAAACATACTGATGCCATTCACCTACACTTGCAAAATAACCAAAGACAGGTGATTTCTTTAATACACAAGCACACACTGCGTACGTCTCACTACTGCACACATATCTAGGGATCGGAGATACGATATCTATTAACAAAGAAAAACAGTCCAAGGTCCAGGTACAAAGTGTATAGCCATATAACACATCCATTCTTAGTTAGGTTCCCTGGGAGTGACCTGACTTCTACGTAGTAGTGTTCTACAAGTATGGAGGTGAGAGTAGAAGTTAGATGAAGTTTCACTAATTTAAATCTATTTGCTGGAGAACAGAGTTTAAGACAAGCTACTACAACAACTAGGTTTTGTTTAGAAATCATAGATTTAGCTTCTAGTTACAAAATAAACATAATTCTTTAACTGAAACTGATAATCGTAAACTGTCCCTCTCCCAAGAGGAAATGAGAAAAGATGAGTAGAAAGCAAGCTTTGTATCACTTCCATTCAAACTGAGTCTTGGCCTGAACAAGTTGTTTTGTATTTGCTATAAGCTTACACACAGAAGTTGCTTACAAGTTGCAAACTTAATTTTCATCCTAAAAATGTTTCCGTTAGTCACAGCTGTAGTGAACTGAACTACATAACTTATTTTACCCAACTATTTGCAGAAACACAGGAGTTTCACTTGAGGTCTTCTAATGGAAATACTTTAACTTCCACGTAAAGTATTAACTGTGTTTTTCCGAGCCTCTGCCAAATTAAGATTAAACAAGTATTTGAGAATCCTATGCATGTACACTGTAACTTTCCTGAAATAAGAATTCACTTTCCTAAGAAATCCTGGGAAAGTTTCATTTTCAAACAAAAATGTACAACTTCCATACGCACACACAAAAAAACCCCAGAAGTCTGAAAGATCTGATTCTGAAGTAACAAAGAAACAAAACTAGCCTCCTGAACTCCAACGCTCCTTTTAAGGTTAGTTCTGTGTTAATAAATTAAATATGCCTTCGACTTTTTTCTGGCACTGTGGCGAATGGGTATGGAATGACTGATATCCATACTTTTGAAATCCAAGTTTCCACGTCAGGGTGGCCACATCCAAACTGCCTACTGGGAACAGCTCCTGGCTCATGCCAACTCTTGAACTGTATCCAGGAATCCTTTCAAAGAGCACTGCTTGGCCTGGTCCAAAGCCCTGCCACACATCGCTCCGGCAATTTGACAAGAGTAGTCAGTCGAGACCCAGTGCCCAGAAATGTCTCCTGACGTTAACGTACTAGTATGGATGCGGCCTTGGGGAGCTCCTTCCTCACAGCTGTCCGCACCCCAGCTACAAGGGTGGGCTGCAGAACCATGTGGTAGGGTCTGGCACACTATCAGGTGGTAGGGAACCCTGTGTAGAGGGGCTGCCCGGAACATCATGAACTCCTCCGCCAGTTTTGCTAACAGAAGACTAGAACAAGGTCTCATTGAAAAAATGTCTAGTTTTGCTGGAAGGGAAAATCTTGAAAATTAAATCTGTTTTTCCCCCAGTGAAAATTTGCTTTATTGAAAAATTCTCAGCCAGGTGTAGGTTATGCAGTAAGCAATGAACTATTTAAGGGATATTACCTGTTACTGTCGTGCTTTAAAAAAAAGCCACAAAATTCTGTGCCATCCATCCTGTCTCCCTGCAATAGAGCTTCTCTTTTTCTATTTATTAAGACAGACATTAGATATTTTTAAATACAAGACAGAAATCTACTTTATCTAAGATTGTGAAGGAAGTTAAGAATATTCATGATTTTTCTTACTCATTCCACATCTTACTGCATTTTCTTATACTTTATAAACAGACACAGACAATAAGAAAGTGGTTCCATGCAGGATCAGAAAGAATTCTTCCATTTCTTCCACAAATAGGTACTTGGCTTGTACCCAGAACAGGAATAAACACCAGTCATTCCTCTTGCTTACAACAGTATGGTTTCTTAAAACCATAAAGACCAACATATTTTTGGAATGCTAATCATGCACTCATCCTTATGTACCAAGTCCTGAATTTCATGGGTGAGTTACACTTCGGCAAAAAGAAAGATTTCCTTTAAAGTTGTTCCTCATTTCCTTTGAAGTTGTTCCTCTAACTGTATTTGTTCTATTATGAGAAATGAGAAAAATTGTGTATTCCTTCCCACTTGCTTTGTATACAATTCTAGCACCAATTACGCTGTCTTTTAAACCAACAGTTAGTTAGCTCCACTTTATCAGACTGAGAGCACCATGCAGAATCTGAGTCAAGCAGCAGCCACGCTTAGGCAGGGAAGATGAGCGCATTTAACATCACAGCATCAAATAAAAAATTTCTGAAAACTCTGCCTCCTCTTTGAAGCATCACACACTTTTTGTAGTGTGGCTATTAATTAATTTAAAAAAAAAGAAAAAGAAAAAAAAGACTTCTGGCATTTAAGTAAAAAAGTAGAATCAGTCACAAGACAGAAAATTACCAGCCATTGCTTATTCACTTCTGTTTTGCTGTGCATATTAACAAGTAAAAGGTTGATAATTTTTCCTTGTGTTGTTGGTTTTTGGTTTGGTTCCCCCCCCACCCCCGTATTTAAATGTATTTATAATTAGCACCTCAAAACTACAGGTAGAGAAGAATATTACACTTATTCCCCACTTAGCTTGATCATAACATTCTAGTACCAGCAAAGGTGAGACACTAACGGTTTAAGTTATTCTAACATTTTAATTTCAAGTGTAGAAGCATCTGGGTACCTGAAAGCCTATGCATTTTAACCTCGTGTTGGGGGAGAAAACAGCCAAAAGAGACAAGGATTATTTGATGGTAAGATTGTTCCAAAGAAGTTGAACGTAGCTGAAGTTCTAACCTAAACCATCAGCAAGCAGAAAATTGTTTATTTGAAGTGACAAGCAACTCACTTGAATAACTAACAGTAAAAAAAAAAAAGCAGCTAGTATAATCAATCATGCATTACAGATTTTGTGTGTTTAAATGTTACTCGCTTCTGTCATATGTAACAGAAAATTGCTGAAGAAAGTAATTGTAAAGTACCAACTAACGTATCTGTTCTGCATATTGAACACTTGCTGAATAGTCACAGTAATTTCTGTATTTTTTAGTATCAAGACCTGATAGGGAAAAAAGTAATTACGCTTTAGAGCCATCTTTTAAAGCAGGACAGTGTTAGGAAGATACTTTGATTTTCAGATACATTAAATTTTCTATGTTCCTCCAGAATAATGAATACTTCTTTTACTATTTAACATTCAAGCCTCACATGTAAGAACAATATTGTATTAAAGGTGATTGCAAGGTGCACTGAGCTGTCCAAAAGAGTGTCTGCTAAGCAATACCCACACACTTTTACTTAGTTTTTTCGAAATACTTACCAATACTTCATACCAAGAAAGCTATCACAGTTTCCTAAAGACTCACATGTGTAAAGGCTTGCAAACATTCCTTCTTGCACTAAAGTATAATCTCATTTCAACACCTGTAAAAGGGATTTTAAAAACTTGGACTCTTTTTGGTAGCATAACAGAGACAGTTGGAAAATTTAACACACAATTTAGTGTACATACCCCAGCCTAAGCATCTGTAAAACTAGAAGCAGATTTGGGCAAGGAAGTTGGCATTATAAAACCACAGTCAAATCAACAATGGCCATAGAAAAACAAAAAATCCCCCAAAACACACTTACCCCTGTAGAGCTTCGTGAATTCGTGCGCATTTAGTCCGCAGAGTCTGAAAAATGTCTACACACACAAGAGGGGCAAAAAAAAGGCAAAGGCTTAGATATCCTATTTCTACTTTATATTTCTATAACTCTAGGATTTCAAGAAAAGCAATTAGAAGAAAAATGAAGGCGTACATATCCTCTGAAGCACTAAGTCTCTTCACTACTTTTCATAATGTTCCCGATTCCCATTTCTGCCAGGAAATGACAGGCTTTTAAAATCTGATAAATGCATTACTTCCCTTTATCTCCTTACTCCAGCTGCACTGGTTCACCATCATATGCAAAGGATGACACAAACACTTAGTAATGGGACTGAAATGGCAGGTCAAACTTATTTCTATCTGTAAAACATCTACAGCCATGCAGACCCTGCTCCTCGATCCTTTCACTAGCTCACTGCAGATCCTTAAACAGGAAACTTTGACTGCTAGATCTGCAAACCTTGGTCCTGTTCCTCAGTAAAGGTTAACTACAGCTAACATGCCGAAACGTACTCAATTTTTTCTTGCTTTTGTCTAACTTCTGAGGACTAGGCATGGGCTACCCAGTAGTTTTTATTTACTTATGACAAATTAAGTACTGCATCTCTCTGCAGATGTCCTCCAAACTGTTGATTCTAATAAAGGATAAAAACAAATAAACACAGATTTGGCCCATTTTGTCCTTCTCATATGCCTCTCACCCCCTCTACACCTCACAAAATAGTCTTTCTTAGGTTCTAGCAACAAGGGCAATTGTCTGACTCCTAGAGTAGAAACTCCTGCCTGCCAGCTTTATCCAAATGGCCTGTATTTGGTCCTGCAAAAATCACAGGTGTTTGCACCATGATCAATCCAAAAATTCTCGCCTGGATGCTCACTTGGAGGAAAAAAAATATGCAGTGCGAGTGGAAAGGAAAGGGTTGCTCAGTTCTGAGGAAATATACTCCCATTTGTTTCTCTTTAAACCTTCCCTTCCTCTGTTTTTCTTGAAGGAATTTGTTTTCAAGGAGGAAGCATATCACTAGTCTATAAAGCAGAACAATAATTTCTTATTTGCTTAGTGATAACCATCTCTGTCCCTCCTACCCTCAACTAACTCGCTCATGTTCAGCTGGAAGAAGGGGAGGAAACAGTGAAGAAAAGCAGGATGAAAAATTAGATGAAGAAAAAATAATCAGATGAAGAAAAAATAATGCATGTAAAATTAATTAGCTGAAAAAAAAAAAAGAGTAAAAGGCTGAGGAATCAAAGGAAGGAGAAGTATGCATTATTAGTTTTGAGTGAACAAAGACTGAAGAATATGATTTTCCTGAATTAAGTACCTGGATTATCTTCCATAATATTCAGAGCCTCAATAGCAGCAGCAGCTAACAAAGGAGGTAGGGATGCAGAAAAGCAGTAGCCTTGACCCGATAATCGCTGTGGAAGAAGGGAAAAAAAAAAAACACACCAAAAACCTTTTTTTTTATAGCAGTATACACAATGTTTTACTATTTATTTCACATCTGTTTAAACAACCTCTCCTCCACCTCTACAGGTTCATGGAAGGATTTAAAAGTATTCATCTACAGTATTTCATAGAACTGGACAGTTTCTGTATGGAAACAAGTTTCACATAATAATTTATATCACAACACACCTTGCAAACGGGTATTAGTAACTAACCCTCATTTTTAAGTAACGAAACCTGCCACACCGTACAAAAATGAGACCTGGCTTACCTGATGGTCAATAATAAAAGATCTTCCACAGCAGAATCCTCCAATAGAAGCCAGTGAATTTTCCATGTTCGCACTAATAAGATCTATATCATCAATCTGCCAATTAAATTAACATGTTATTAAAAGATGCTTTTGATTACATCAAGACTATTTGTAAGATAAATCTGTTAAAGATGTAACGTTACGTTTTATCGTGAATACAACAGAAGATCCAACAAATTATCACGTTAAAATCCAGCTACATCAGCTTCTATCATACACCACTAAACATTGTTAACGCCACACATATAGGACACCAGTTGTGCAGCTGCCTGCTGCCTAAGACCCTGTTCACAACAAAAATCACAACAAGGCACTTACGTTTATTCCAAAGTGTTCAGTAATTCCTCTTCCATGTTCGCCAAGGACTCCAAAGGAAAGACTCTCTTCCAAAAATATTCTAACTTTGTATTTATACTTCAATTTTATCTAAAACAGATCAAATGATTTAAAATACAACTCAAGTTGGTAACAAAGTGGTCTGGGAAGATTAAGTAAAGATATACAAGTACAGTATCCTGAATACTGCAAAACTGTTATCTCCAGAGTTGTGTTCTGTCATTAGGACATTTTAAGAGCCTTCGAAGTTCTTCCACTATGTGAGACTACAGTAAATTTCATAGACGTTCATGTAGGAAAAAAAGATCTTTTTTTTTTTTAATAGGCTCTCAAATACTTTCAAGATGATGCATTTCTTCCATTATCTACTAGAATGCAGTCTGCACAAAAAGCCAGTTTATGCTGAATAGTTAATGTTTTCCTTGAAGCCACTGTTTATGACAGCTGTGTGAGTTTCTCTGAAACTTCATGGGGTTTTTTTTAAGATACAACTTAGTTTTTAACCTGTAAAATGCACTGTATTTTCAGCTGTGCTGTATGATACTAAATCGTTAAATGAAGACCACAGTCAGATACCAATTTGCAAGTCTCATTACATACAGCCTCAGAATCCTATCTTGACCATAAGTGTCAAAACAACCTAAGATGTGGGATTGCCATTTCATGAATGTTTGAGAAAGCAAAAAGGGAAACAAAGTAACCGCATGAAGTGCTTTTCTATGTAGGCTTAACTATGTGATACCACTATTTCATCAGTCACATGTTTTCATACGCAGAGCTTAAAAGGCAAACTGAAACCACTTACCAACTCTGGAAGAGGGCAAACATCTCCTGTGTTCATATACAATCCTTCCACTACAATAAACCTTCGAGTTACACGGGCCTTGCGAGGATTCTTCAGAGAAAGATACGGTTTCAGTTCATATCAATTGTTACTAACAAGCAGAGCTCTGAGGATTTTGTGTTAGGCAAGGACAGTAAAGGGCAGTGAAGGAAGACAATGTCTCTTTTCCAAGTGAGCTTTTACTTTAGTTTAGACTTCGTATTTACCATTTGTACCAAAAGTTGAAATGTCTCATTGGACTAGTTTTTGTTTTGTAATAATTTTAAAACATTTAACTCTTACACAAGATCTAAGATGCCTTGTTTTACAACAATTCATAACCAATCCATTTGAAGTTTATGAATAAAATAGAAACAATACAATTACAGAACAAATACTACAAATCTTGGTCTCTATTACATTGATCATTAGTCTTGAGCATTTAGATGGCTTTTCAGCAAGGGGTTTGTGCACCAGGACTCTCAATGCAGCACCACCCTCCTTGTATGAAATAGTGTCTGCACACAACACAGTCCAAAAGTATTCATAACATTCAACTTAAAATCTTATCTGAACCCAGCACTCCTGATGCCGTTCTAATCAACTAGTATGTTGTCTATAAATTTGCTATTAATCGAATCCATTACTGATTTAGACTGATGTTAAGCTGACTGGCTTATAATTATGCAGTTTATCTACTTCTTCTGTGTTGGCACAGAATCAGCTTTCTTCCAATTGGCTGTAACCGTCCAGCATTCTGTGAATGAGGCACATAATGGTGACAGTTGTTCAGCTAGTTCTTTTAAAATTCATTTAACCAAGATATCTGTACTTGCTGATCCTGATTTTACTAGCTGCTTTTGGAAATCATTTTGTATTACTGTCAGAATGACAATCAAGCCATTAAACTGACCCAAATTTTTCAAGAAAGACAACATCTTAAGAGTTCAGTGTAAGACAGGGCAAGAGTCTAAAAAACAAAAAAGAAACCAGAATCATGTTGATTCTATAAATTAAAGGGTTAGGACTGACAAGTCACTTCTGTGTTGTTTTTATGGCATGGCATTTAAACTAATAATTAACTTGCATGATTTAGTAGGTAAATGCATTTATAAAAATTTCTGAAAGACCAAAAAAATGTTCTGATAAGGTAGTTAAAAGAATAATGTCCAGCTTCAATCATCTACCCATAAAGATATTCCCCACTACCAATGCCTGTGAGCTCACTTCCAGTGGTTACACAAATGCAAATAAACACATAAAATATTTTTAAAAAATCTATCTTAATACCATAATCAACATCAACTGCTCAGCAGAAATTTATGAAAACCAAGTAACTGCCTATAAGCATTTCATCCATTCAATTACACAATCCAGTAAAAAAATGTGGAGGAGGTGGCACAAAAGAGTACAAATATTACTTCAAAGGAATGGTACCTTTTGATCTTCAGTCTCTTGTTCTTTCAACAGTCGTTCAAGGTCAGCCATATCATTATGCCTAAATAACTTGATGTTACTACGAGATGCTTGTAATCCCTTCTGAATAGCGAAGCAGGCAGCTTCATCTCTGTAAATACAGCAAACCCTTCTAAGTTTGCACTCGGTTTAACAATTATTCAAAGAGAGCTGGCTATTAGCGACTGAGGGAACTGGGCTTGTTTAGCCTTGAGAAGAGGAGGCTGAGAGGAGACCTGATCACTGCCTACAACTACCTGAAAGGAGGTTGTGGAGAAGTGAGTGTTGGTCTCTTCTCCCTAATGACAGATGATCGGACGAGGGGGACTGGTCTCAAGCTGCGCCAGGGGAGGTTTAGATTGGACGTAAGGAAGAAGTTCTTCACCGAAAGGGTTATCACACACTGGAACAGGCTGCCCAGGGGGGTGGGGGAGTCACCATCCCTGGATGTGTTTAAGAGACGGGTGGATGAGGTGCTGAGAGATATGGTTTAGTGGTGGACAGATACGGTTGGACTGGATGATCTCTAAGGTCTTTTCCAACCCAGTGATTCTATGATTCTATGATTAGCACTGTCCTGCTTTTGAGCAGATATCTGTACTCAGGTGTAGTTAAAAACAGATTTATTAAAGTACCACGTATTTTATTTATATTTTGAAAAGTCATTTCCAAAGCTTCTCTACTTTCCTAAGCACTATAACCACTAAAGGCAAGCCAACAGGTTTTTATTTTTCTTGAGGTGTACACTCATCTTTTTGTTTGTATGTGACATCAGTTTATATGAGTACAGCACTTCATGGACCGGGTACAGTATCATGGTAATCATCCCAGAAACCTTCCACTCCATTTGCTCTGGGTCTTAGAAAAAAGATGCAAAGGTGTATCTGTAACATTTATGCTGGTCCCCCAAGTATTCAAAACCTGCTTTTTAATATCCTTTGGGAATTACCATCTCAGTGTTCAAAGACCTGTCTGCCATTTTTAAGTGTTGGAAAAGCACATCTCAGGGCATGATGGGGTGTTCAATTTCACAGCTGCTTACACCAAGTATCTTTTGAAAGTGGCACCTAAAGCAAACCTTCTGCAGCACATGCTAAATGCAGTAATTTCAACCAAGTTACTTTTAAATATGGTGAGATATTTTGTCAGTGAGAGGCTGAAACAGTACAAGATAGATAAATCCAGCATACACTGGCAACTTGAACAGCTTGCACAATCCTGGTCATTCGTCTCAAAAAAGCTAACGTAGAAAATGTTCGAAGATGACCAAAAAACATGATCAAAGTTATGAAAGAACTTCTGTAAAAGTTCTCACACTTAGAGCACTTGAAGAAAGATTTTGGCAGAGAAATACTGAAGTATCAGTGTGTTGTGGCTTAACCTCAGCAGGCAGCTAAGCACCCGCAGCCACTTACTCACTCTGCCCATGGAGAAGATGCATCAATTCAGTGTCTAAAAATGAAATGCATCAAATGAAATTTGTAGGTGTTATATTCAAAACAGGTATGTCTTCATATTCTTTCATAAAATGTTCCAGTTAAACTGTGAAATTACATGTCATAGAAGCACTGTGGATATTAAAGATTTAAAAAGGTACTAAAAGAATAGGAACACAAGAAAAATCCATCAACTACTATTAAATCCAAACCCTCCTCTTCATCTCAGAAAGTTTTGAGTACTGTTATGCTGTCTTTTACTCTTCCCCAGACAAATTATGACTGGCTACTCTCAGGGACTAAACAGTGGGCTTCCTGAATCTTTAGTATGATCCTTTGTAGCTGTTCTTGTGTTGTTTAAATATGTACCAATATTTATCCAGCTAATCCACTGCAAATATGCATGAGGGGAACAACTGTCATGCAACAAAAGTGAAAAGCCAGTAGTAAACAGGAGAAAAGCAAATATGACTGTACAGTTTCTTAAGAAGACAACCACTTACTAGACTTCTGTTAGTTCTTGCATGCACAAATTTGGCTGGTTTATTTTCCAGCCAAGTGCCTATGCCTGTTCTTCCATGATAAAACCAGTAACTGATTTGGAGTTTTTGGTAAATAAAAGATACTGAGGTTTGGGGGAAAAAAAACCCAAAACACCCAAAACCAAACACAACAACGAAAGCCCAAAAAACCCTACCTTGATCAAAACCAGCATTAATTCCAAGTAGTTAACTTAATATGATTAACAATAATGAAAAAGAAAACCAGAAAGGACAACTCTTTAATCCAGAATTTCCCCAATACAAAACTATACTTACACAAACACAATGTCCCCTCTTTTCGCATACGCAGGAATAGCACTGGCAATTGTTGCAAATCCATATGAGTATATAATAGCTTCCTCTGTCCTCATGAATTTTGCTAGTTGGTCTTCTAATTCTAAATGTACATCTATTTGAGAGAAAAATTTAAAATATCTTTGGTAGTTTACTTGTTTTCTTACCAGAAAGACTATCATTGCTTTTAGCAATCATCTAATTGAGGCAAACAGAATGTTTATCTGTAGGAAGAG